ACATGGCAAGAACATAGACATAGAATTGACTCAACTGAGAAAGCTGAATTATTTTATACAGAATTTTTTGGAGAGAAAGAGGAAGAGGCAGAAAAAGAGATCTCACTAATTGAATTCCAAGAGGACTGCCAAATGGTGACTGAAAAAGAAGAAGGTGCAGTAGGTGGAAAGGTGGAAGCCAAAGAACAACGTGAACTAAGATCTACGAGAGCTGCTAAACTTAACTACAAAATATAATCATGGAAGAGAAAAAATTGATTACAATTAATATAAATGGACTTAACTCAGCCGTTAAAAGAAGGAAAACCTTTCATAAATTAGAGAAATTAAAATTTGATATAATTTGTCTACAAGAAGTACATATTAAAAAACAACATGAACAATTGTTAATACAGCCAAAATTAGGGAAAATATTTACTTCCTTGACACAATGTAAGAAAAGAGGAGTGGTTTTATATATTAAAGGGACCACCCCAGCAAAATTGATTTATACCGATGATGATGGAAGAATACTAATGGTGGAAATAATGGACAATAATACAAAAACACTCCTGATTGCAATCTATGCTCCAAATGACAAACAAGAAGAATTCTACAAAAAATTACATATGAAAATAATTGAACTGGACTATGCTAATATAGTTATGATGGGAGATTTTAACGGAATTAAAACAGAAAGACTCTCCCTAAATCTTTTTTTAAAATGGTAGATGAAATAAACTTAAAAGATACATGGAGAGAAAGAAATGTTAAAACTAAACAATACACCTTCTATTCAAATAGACACTTATCATGGTCCAGAATAGATATGATATGGATGTCAACAGAATTAATAACTAATATTCAAGAAATAAATATTGAAACAAGTACTTGGGCAGATCACAATCCAATGACAATTAAATGGAAAGGACAAAAAAGAAGATCTAGATGGACGTTAAATGGACTAGATGGACTATTTTAAAGGAAAAAGACTTCACACAGTGGATGGAGAGAATTGCCTTTTTTCTTTAGAGAAAACAAAAAAGAAGATACATCAATTCAGAATGTATGGGATACAATGAAGGTGTATGTTCGAGGCTTGATAATAGACTATACAAGGAAAAGAAATACTATGAAAAGGCCTTAGAGGATGAGTATAAAAGACTTGAAAAAGAGCTACAGAAAATGCCACAGAAAAAGGACATTAAGCTAAAAATGGATATAATTAAACATAAAATGGGTCAAATAGAAAAAGAAGAATTAGCACAGAAAATTAGAGGTGCTAAACAGAACTACTTTGAAGACGCAAACAAACCAGGTAGATGGTTAGCATACAAATTGAGAAAGGAGAAAGAATCAAGGAAAATATTGCAATTAATAGATGACCAAGGCCAAGTTTGCTATGGTAGTAAAGAGAAGAAGGAAATCATTCGAGACTTCTATGGGAAATTATATACGCAAGAGAATATTGATGAGGAAAGAGTTAAACAGTACTTACAGAATGCTAATTTACCTCAGATACCTAAAGAGACTGAAACAATGTTAGAAAGCAATATAACAATGATGGAGTTAACTGAAGCACTCAAGAAGCAAAATAATGGAAAGGCACCAGGCCCAGATGGACTTCCGGCAGAATTTTACAAAACATTACAAGAATCGTTGAATCTTCCATTGCTAGAAGTTATGAATGAAGTTATGTTAAAGAAGAAGATACCTAAATCATGGTCAGAAGCCTATATTACACTTATTCCAAAAGAGGAGGCCGATCCATTACAAATTAAGAACTATAGACCCATTTCTCTACTAAATGCAGATTATAAAATTTTTGCTTCAATATTGGCAGAAAGACTTAAAAAATATGTAAATAATTTTATTCATCCTGATCAAAATGGATTTCAGCCAAAGAGACAAATTAAAGACAATATGAGAGTAATCTTGGACACCTTGGAATACTACGAGGCACATCCTGAAAAATAAATGGCTCTGATATTTCTAGATGCACAGAAGGCATTTGATAATGTGAATTGGCGATTCATGTTATTAGTGTTGGAACAGATGGGTTTTGCTAGAAAATTTATTCAAGCAATAGAAGCTATATAGTATAAGCAAACGGCAAAGGTAATGATAGAGGGAGAACTGACAGACTCTATCAATATAAGAAAAGGAACAAGACAAGGGTGCCCACTATCACCTTTGTTGTTTGTGTTAACTTTGGAAGTGCTAAACAGAAATATTAGAGATGAAAAGAATATAAAAGGAATGAAAATCAAAAAGGAAGAATTTAAGCTGCAAGCATTTGCAGATGATCTGGTTTTCATCTTAGAAGACCCTTGAGAAACAGCATCAAAATTGATAGAAAAGATAGAGACATATGGAAAGGTGGCTGGTTTGAAAATAAATAAAGACAAGACAAAGATCTTGACAAAGAATATGCTATTAAGACAAAAGGAAGAACTGGCAGACCTATTGAAAATTCAGGTCACAAATAAGATCAAGTACTTGGGGATATATTTGACAGCAAGATGTAGTACATTAAAAGAGAATAATTATATCAAACTTAAACAGCAGATAGCGCTAGATCTGGCAAAGTGGGAAAATTTATTGTCACTAATAGGGAGAATTTTAACAATCAAGATGAATATATTACTCAGAATTTTATATTTGCTTCAAACAATTCCAATTAGGCTTGGAAAAGATTACTTTGAAGATTTAAATAAAATTGTGTTGAAATATATATGGCAAGGTAAGAAAGCGAGAATAAAGTTAAAACTTTTGCAAGATGCTAGAATTAGAGGAGGATTTGGTTTGCCTAATTGGGAGTTGTATTATCAAGCTACAAATCTGATGTGGGTTAAGGAATGGATAACACTAAGAAATACTAGATTGTTGACATTAGAAGGACATGATTTGTTGTTGGGGTGGCATGCTTTTTTATGGTATAAAGCAGTGATCCCCAACCTTTCTTATGCCGCGGCCCGGTATCCCCAACCTTTTTTATGGCGCGGCCCGGTACCGGCATTAGCTGGGCACCGCCATCTTTTTTTGATGAAAAAGTGCTTCCGGTGAGCTTTTCCGGGTAGAAAGTGCTTCCGGTGAGCTTTCTACCTGGAAAAGCTCACCGGAAGCACTTTTTCATCAAAAAAAGATGGCGGCGCCCAGCAAACCAGCGGCCCAGTAGGACTTGTTCCACGGACCGGTCCCGGTCCACGGACCGGTGGTTGGGGACCCCTGGTATAAAGGAACTAACACACAGGGGTATTTTAGAAGACATTATATACGGGAGTCTCTGTGGTTAAACTGGGAGAAGATTAAAAGACAATGTTATTTGAAAATTCCAGTCTGGCTATCGACAATTGAAGCATTTTCTTATCCTATAATATACAAAAAGGAACAAACAGTTAGATATGGTGAAATATTGAATGAAACTCAAATCTATACAAAAACTAGAGGAACAAGTTATAAAGATGAATTGGTTTTCATATGCACAAATACATTCAAGGTATGATAAAGATTCTAAAATGAAAGGTTTCTATGATAAATTGACTGATTTAGATAAGATTTTGACAGGTACTGATGAAAAGGTGATTAAAAAATTGTATGGATATTTATTAGAAATTAAATTAGAAGACGAACAAGTTAAAGAAACCATGATTGCTTGGGGGAAGAATTTTGGATATGGGATCGATTTAGAGAAATGGCAAAAATTGTGGTCTCAAAATTATAAAATGACAATGTCAACAGCATATAAAGAAAATTTGTATAAGATGTTTTACAGGTGGCATTTCCCCCCGACAAGAATAGCAAGAATGTTCAAGAATAAATCCGAAAAATGTTGGAAATGTCATCAGACACTTGGCTCATATTACCATATGTGGTGGACTTGTGTGGATGCTAAAAAATACTGGACTAAAATCCACACATGGTTGGAAAAAATGACAAAAAAACATATAGACTTGAAACCAGAGATATTTTTATTGGGAATTTTACCTGAAATATATAGTAAAGACTTGAAATATCTGATTGTAAATGTATTAACAGCGGCTAGGATTGTATTTGCCAAAAACTGGAAAAATGAGAAACCACCATCACAAGAAGAAATCATTAAGAAAATATTGGAATGTGCTGAAATGAGTAGATTGACATTTGAAATTAGAGAACAAGAGGATAAACAATTTTATAAAATTTGGGATCTATTCTATCAATGGTTAGACAATAAAATACAGTAATGAAATATGTAGACTTTTAGAAAATAATAAATATATAAAGATTTACTTCTTTCTTATTATATCTACAAAATGATTTTAGGATAGATTTGGGATGATAATATGAACTGTTATAAAACAAACTAAGTAAATTATTGTTATCTTGTAAAACATGAATGAATAAAAGTATAGTCAAATGATTGATTAATAATGATACTAAGGTATTTAATTTTTGATTGAAAATACAAGATTATATGCAATGTAATTGTAATTGAAGACTATGAAATGGAAGCACAAAACAATTTGTAAACCAACTGGCACACTGTATGTATACATATGGAAGATGGTTTGATGTTTTTATGTTTTGTTTGTTTATATTTGTTTTTAAAAACCAATAAAAACTTTTTAAAAAAAAGACTAAAACAGCAAAGCATTTATACATATACACAAATATGGCTATAATTTTTAATTGAGCCAAATCCAAAATGGACTTGGGCCGCATATTTTTTTATCTGCTTTTTTACTGTTTCTTCTCCCTTGTTATTCGTTCACTGCAAAAACAAACTCTCACAAAATAAACTTTGGCAATAGCAATAATGTTAGACCATCCAATAAGGAACTGTTTTCCATTTTATCTTATATTGGTTTTTCTAAGTATTATACACTGAATGGCTTATTTTTAACCTTAAACTTATTTTTTAGCGAAATTACTACTGTATCGTAATGATTTTGGTCAGTAATTTGTAACTATATTCTCTTTAACCAGTACATCATCTTCTCTCTATATTTACTGTTACTATTCTTCTCCAAATATTGTAGACCTAATCCAGGCCACAAATGAGACAAATGTCAACATTCCACAAATGGCTGATACCCTCTTTGAAAGAGCGACAAACACTAGTTGGGTTGTTGTCTTCAAAGCCTTAGTTGCAACACATCATCTAATGGTTCATGGCAATGAGGTAAGCTTTTTAGCCCTCAAAGCTAAAGCAAGGGATTGTTAAGAAAGCTTGTGTTTGTCTCATAAACTCTAAAAAAGGAAAAAGTTATAGCAAGTAGTGAGCTTATCTGATACGCTGTTAAAGCAGTATAAAATATTTAGTTTATGTGGGGTTTTCTTCTATGAATGTTTCAGAGGATAAATGATCCACTCTGCTTACTGAAGGAGAAAATTCTACCCCAGCGTTTCATGCATCTAATAGATATATATGCTCTGGAGATTGGGGATCATTTGAAATAAATCTTAGGTTAGAGAATATGGAAATTCAGGATTTAGGTAGGTAACTGCATTAGGCTGTTAGGCCTTTGGTCATGCAATGTTAGAATCCGCTGAAAGAATTTAGTGTTATTATGTAAAAATAAGATCTCTGTACTTCTCTGATATACAAAGAAAGTGCTTTGATCTACACATATTTTCATAATTTTTAAAAAGAGGCAACCTTTTTTTATTTTCTTACACTATATGTGTGTATTTATGAACTGGGATCTCATTTTATATTTTTTTTTTACTTTGAATGCATGGCAAAGTATTTGCTTCAAATCTTATCTTTAAAGTTTTTTTTTTTACAGAGTCTCCCTTATCAGTTTCAATAAATATCTGCTGATACCCCATACACAATAAGTTTTTGCCTAGAAAAGAAAACAATTCCTTTATCTAAAACTGGAGGAGAGTGAGAACTTAGTTTTATGTGAACTAGTATTTCTATACATTGGTCACGTTATTTGCTCTTTTGGAAACCTAGCATATAAACAGAGTGGGGTCTCTATTCTTTTACTCAGACTATAGACTGTTATTTTATTTTTATCCAGAATAATTTCTTGTACTATAATAGTAAAATGTGATCTTACGGTTTCCTGAATTGGAATTCAAATGGAAAACAATGCTTTCCTTAATATAATCTATATACCACTAAAATTTTCAGAATACAAAGATATTGAAGAGTACTGGGGCTAAAGTGGCACCTTGAGGTACCCCACTGCTTGTTTCCCTCCATATAGATATAGTTCCATTTGGGATTAGATGCTGAGTGTAGTTCATCAGCCAGTTATGACTCCATCTGGTGGGGATGCTGTCTATCCCGCATTTTTTTAGTTTACCAAGAAGTAGGTTGTAGTCTTAAGTGGGAGAAATGGTGCATCTTAGGGAAAGCATTTTTGAATCAAGGCACCTCTAATGAACTAATTTATAGTATCTGTCCAAAATTTGTGGCTCAGTGACTCCCAAGGTAATGAAAGTTGGAAAATTATGGCTGTTTCAGTGCTGGTGGCTGCTGCTGCATCCTTCAACCTGATCTTTATTTCCAGTGTTGCATGACAGTTTCTTAACTAGTCTCACAGTCCCTCCTTCCCTCCCTCACCCAACCTGCTTCCTTTACTGCCTGCAGGGGAAGGGAAGGGAAGGAGATTTCTGGTGCTCCCTGCCAAATTTCCACAAGGAAAGTCAGTGGGAAAGCCGGCAGGAAGTCAGAAATCACTGTTGCTTCCACTACTTTTTTGCCTGCTGTTGACCATTCTGTTTTTCTATTTAGGCAAGGAAATAACTTTGAAAGGATGACCCAACGAGACATGGTTGTTTAGTATATGTTAGCAGTAATCTTGTTGTGTCAATGTTGTTCAAAGAAGCAATACGTTAATTGCATTTTACATATGATCAGAGGTACTGACTGTATGTAAAATGCAGTTGTCTGTTAATTTTTAGATTAAAACTTGTCATATGTTCAAATAATTCACTTCTAACATTGGTATGTCTAATACAACATGAATGGTTTAACTTTTTTTTAATATGGGAGGATTCAGTGCATATTCAGATTTTTGAACTTACCATCTGAGTCTAGATAATTGTATATAAGCTTATATAACTAGAGATACATACAAATTAGATACTAATCATGTAATGAAATTTTTGTGGGTTTTTTTTACAGCAGAAATGAAATATGTTTAGAGATCTGTCGTGAAAAAGGAAGAGAGAGATAATTCATTTTATTCTGTTTTTCTTCCTCTTAGAGATTTATTCAATATCTGGCATCTAGAAACACACTATTCAATCTCAGCAATTTTTTGGACAAAAGTGGATCACACGGTGAGAAAAGCAATTCACTTTATCAAGTTTAGTGTGGTATTTTATTTACTGAAAATAACATGAGCAGAAACGTAACATTTTTTTTTATAGTTTTAGGTTTACATATTTGGATTAAAGCAAATATTTATCATAAACTTATACAGTAAAGGTTAAATTTATCTTTGCTCTTAATCTGCATTTCTGTGTACTTTTCTAAACACACCAAAATAGCCTTTCTAAGCACTTTGAGATGCTACCTCATTGTTACTTTAAGTCACAGTTAAAATGAAACAATTCCGCTTTTTTTAAAGTATTTTTCTTAAGAAAACAAATGAAAATTAGTCCTCAGTGTGAAGGTAATAAAAAACATACTCTGGAAAAAAGGCTTTAATATAATGAATATTGTGTCATTAATATAAGTAAATGTATTTGTATGTGTTTATGTGTTTGTTCCAGATATGGTTCTCTATATCGAATGAGGATAAAAATAAAAGATAAAGTTGAATGCTTAATAATGAATGGCCATTTTTGTTTAATAAGGAACAAAGAACTTATACCAGGCTCAACACTCTGCAAAGGATTGTTATACTGATTCTTTGCTATGATGTCAGACCTAGTCAGTTTAGTGTAAGTTTCCAATTCCTGGTAAACATGTTTTGTTAAAAAAAAATAAAAATCTGTAGGCAGCCTTACATCTGTTAATTCCTCTGAAATATGGTTTGGCAGGCTGTCACTTGAGGTTTGTTGATGTGAGTATCTGAGGAGGAATGTAGGTGCCTTGTTCTCTTAATACAGAAAAGTTTAAATATACCACAGTCAGGTTAATTGGAAAAGAGACAGTGCAAAGAAAAAATGAAAAGGGGGGAAAACCTTCTAAGACGAAAAGTTGTTTTAATAGTGTACTCTTTCCCCAAGGCTGTCAACAAATAACTTCATATAGGATTCTATGAATTAAATCCTGGCAGTGTAAAGATTGCATAATTCTGCTATACTGTATGTAAACCTTTCTCTGCAGCAAAACTCCATGAACACATTGCAGGGATATTTATAGGGGAATTGTCTTCTTACTCTTTCGTCATAGCCCTATCAATCATATAGTGCAGCTTGTCTTATTTTATCAGCATCCAATACACATTGATCCAACAGTTTTCTAGTTTAACAAATTTTTAGATCAGAATGTGTATACCAGTGATTACTGTAACAAGTGTTGCCTGTTATTCAAAACTAATCGTATCTTGAAATGTATGAGATACTCTCTTCTGTTCTTTTGGGGTTTATTAATGTGACCTCCTGTATTTAAAGAAGAGATTTTGGGAAATATTCATTGATTGAGAAATAATTAAAAAAACTATATATGTTATATTAATACAGTGGTCGCCAACCAGTGGGCCGCAGACCACTGGTGGTCTGTGAGAACATTTTGGTGGGCCACAGCGCAACTGGTGTTTTGTTTTCTGTGGGAAGCGGGTCCAAATGCCTCTTTGAGTATTTAAGGTTGCAGAAACAGGCAGCCAAGCTAAGTGCCTGAAGGACCCCATCCCATCAGTGGGAGTCCAGGCGCTTCAGCGAGCAGCATGCTGGATTCATATTAGTGTTATGAGTTTGGTGGTCCCTGAGGTCCAAAAGGTTGCTGACCCCTGTACTAATACATTGGTGATAACAATTGGTTTGATGTCAATAGCTAGGCAATTACTGTATGTGGCCCTTCTATTACTTAGACTTTTAGAGTGTTGGAATAATGTCTGAAATACCCAATAGATTTGCATCATTAACATTATTATTTTTTCTCACTCACTGTAATAAATTAATAAATCAAAATTCTCCATATTATGGTTTCTTTTTCTAGGATACGATATGTCAACTTTTATCAGGCGCTACAGTAGATATTTGAATGAGAAAGCATTTTCATACAGACAAATGGCATTTGATTTTGCAAGAGTAAAAAAGGGGTAAGTTGTCCTTATTTAGTATCAATATTGTTGTTGCAAAGTAATTAATTGAATGTTGCTGTAATTATTTCTGGTGCGGTCCTACCCTACCCTAACCTAACCTAACCTAACCTAAATTGAATGAAGTAAATAGATCTGAAATATATTATACTACTATTCAATACAACAAATTGAATGTTGCTATAATTATTTCTAACAATCTCCTGTTATTATATTTGTGTGAATAATTAAAAAGGAACCAAACTGAAAACGTGTTAAAAAGGATTCTGGCATGCAAGTATTGCCATTTGTTAAGTATAACATAGGTTGTTTTGTGTGTTTATCCAATAGAAGACAGGTGTCAAGCTCGATTTCATTGAGGACCGCATCAAAGGGTGTGTGTGTGTGTGTGGCCAGGGGGGCATGGCTAGCTCAACGTCTCTCATGTTGGGGCACCTGTAGTGGCCCAAGCACTCTGCCAGCGAAAACAGAGGTCCATTTTCGCTGGCAGAGTGTTACAGGAGGCAGTCACAGCCAAAAATAGAGCTTGGGGAGAGCAGAGGCACGGCAGGCTGATCCTTCACTATTTCCAGGGCAACCCTGCAGACCAGATCTAAGCACCCCATGGGCTGGATCCGGCCCATGGGCCTTGAGTTTGACACCTCTGCAATAGAATGTCTAAAGAGCCCAGCATTTTGCTAGGATTCCTGTCTTCTCTCGCGCCATATTCTGTTTAAAAATTGAATTCAGTCTCTTTCCATTAGTTTTCTTCTGATGGTTTCAGTAGTAACATCTTTGATTTCTTCCTCCTCTAGTACTTGGATCTTGTTCCTCTCAACTTTTAGTCTTTTGATCTAAGTTGCTGCTTGGGTTTTATGGCCATCAGAGCATCCATCAGGAAATAGTAAAACTGTGGCAATAAACTGAAAGACATCCATTGTGCCTTTTTTGCTTTGTGAGGGAATCATGCAGAGGTGGTATTCAGCAGGTTCTGACCAGTTCTGGAGAACCGGTAGCGGAAATTCTGAGTAGTTTGGAGAAACAGCAAATACCACCTCTGACTGGAGACTTTACATTATCCTTCCCCTGCCAAGCCCCCAGAACCAGTAGTAAAAATATTTGAATCCCATCACTGGAATTGTGTATGCATTATCTTTATCAAATAGGACTTTCTCACCTAAGGGCATGTCTTTGGGGAAAGACTCTCAGTGAAACAGTTTCTGTAGCTAAATTGGCTTTGAGGGAGCTTGACTATCAGCCTAGTTTTAAGAGATGATCTTTGTTAGGCACTCCTGCAGACCAGATTTGCACCCAGCTCTTGAAGAGAACATTTTATTTATTGATTTATTTGATTTGATTTGATTTGATTTGTCAATCGCTTACAAGATACAGGTATAAGAATAAACATAGTTTATTTAACATTGCACTATAGTTCCTGATGCAATCAGAAAGTATTTGAGTGTGTATGGAATAGATCACTAAAGGGTTTGTTCCCTTATGATTTGTGGCCATATTTCATACAGGACTTATTTTTAACTAATGTAAGATTCTACAGCCACATTGCACATTTCCTAGTGCTAATGGCCTATAATAAATGGTGAAAGACTTTTGATTGAAACCATTGTTTATGCCAACATCAAAATCTCAAGAGTTTATATTAGGTATAACATTACTTGTTTTTTTAACCACCTATTCAATTTCAATTATCATTGCAGCTTCCCAGTTTTTATTTAATGTGCTGTAGCAAAAGCTTAAACCTTTCTTTACTTGTCAGATGGACTCTCCCTTTCTGATTTCCAGGCTTATGTGGCTACTTACCAATACTTTCATAGGGGGAAAAATAGTACTTTGCATCTGACTCCCAGGCAAAACACAGAGACTCATTAAAGTGTTTCATGTTGGAGAAATGTCTTTTGCCAAGTAGCAGATTATACCTCTAGAAACTCCAGAGATTACATATCCAATATGTTTTTTTAAGTATTACTTTAACATATAAAAAATACAGAAATCATGATGCAAAGAAGAAAGGACTAAAATACAGAACATACTCAGTTTTTAAATAGCAAATCAAACACTGATCACATAAAATAATGTTAATCAGCCTTTCCCTATAAATGATACCATTTTTGGCAGATGCCAAGAGCTTGGCCACAGATTTTGAAGATTTATTAATCAGGTTAAAACTCCTCTTGTGGCATTTGAATTGCCATTAATATATTTGACTAATCTTTCCCTTTTTTTCCTTATGTTTTTACAAACCTTAATATGTTATATTGTTTCAGTACAATGATATTAACACAGTGTTGATTGAAAATTAACCATTACTAGTTGATGATAATAAATATTTAGATACAATATTTCTTTTTTCTTTATTTCCAGTAGTCTATCAATATTAATGATAATTTCAGATGACAGTATTACAAGCATGATTATGTGACTATTTCATCCAGAATTGAATATTTTTTAAATGCTACAGAATGCCTCAAAGTATTTGTTATACAATAAGATATATAAATTGGGTTTACTTTTATTTCCTCAGGGCTGATGGTGTAATGAGGACAATGCTCCCGGAAAAACTACTGAAGAGCATGCCAATATTACAGGGACAAATAGATGCACTTCTTGAATTTGATGTATGTGCTTATATTTTCCTTACACTTTTATGGTTATAGAAAAATGCTTCTTACTTTGAATATTTAAAAAAACCATGAAACATTTAGCTTGTAAAAGGAAAGTGATTGCATTTTGTCAAGCTGCAGAAAAAAAAAGCTGAAGACTGAAGATTAAATTACCTTTTTGCGCTTCATTGAAGGTCACAACCAAGTGTCATCATTTCACCATTAATGTTGCGTAAACTTCAAAATGATGTGATGTGCATTAATATTCAATTTCTTACTAGGTTTATCTAGATTTTATTAGTTTCAGCAGCCTAACTTCAGCTGATCATTCTTGTAGTTTAGCATTGCTGAATTTACTGTATCTTCAGAAGCATACTTTCTGTTTAGACTTCTGTTTAGACTCCTTAATCTTAACAATAAATAGATTGGCTAATGTTTTACATTGTGCTGAAAGAAAAGCTAGTCTGAATGTTGTATGTTTATAATGAATCATGGGCTTTTCTTATATAGGTTCATCCAAATGAATTGACAAATGGGGTCATAAATGCTGCATTTATGCTTCTGTTCAAAGATCTCATCAAGCTTTTTGCTTGTTACAATGATGGAGTCATTAATTTATTAGGTATGTCATTCTTTTCTGGACCTATGATTGTGGCCAAATTATTTTTAGTCATATTCTTTCAAAAGAAGATTAAATCTTTTTTTTCCAGAAACACTGTAATCTGACTGACTAACTAACTAATCACAGGCATGGAACATCTCTATGCTCAAGCACTTTAGTTAGGCAACTTGCATTAAGCAATAAGAACCAGCATCATTATAGCAATAGCACTTAGATTTATATACCGCTTCACAGTGCTTTACAGCCCCCTTTAAGAGGTTTACAGAGTCAGCATGTTGGCCCCCAACAATCTGGGCCCTCATTTTACTGACTTTGGAAGGCTGAGTCAACCTTGAGCCAGTGAGACTCGAACTGCCAAATTGCAAGCAGCCAGCAGGCAGCAGAAGTAGCCTGCAGTACTGCATTCTACCCACTGTGCCACCACGGCTCTTATTGTAAAATAATAGAGTGGAAGAATAAGTCTCAGAAATCCAGGTAGCAAATTCAAGGCCAAAGTCTTATTTTGCTATTTTAAATATTGAAGGCTTGTTTTTTATTACAAACATCTGGCTGTGTCCAAATACTGTATTTAGTGATGCTTAGATAAGCACTTTAACATACGCTTTTGGCAATATATTAATGAAGCAAACTTCCTATTTGGCACAGATCATCTTTTCATGTTTTTGTTCTTTCACCCAAATAAATAGCTCCTATCAGAAAAAAAAAAGTTGTACCAAGCAAATGGTTGCAAACACACTCAGCTAGCTAAGGTTTTTTTTAATTCATTATTGATTTTGTCTTAGAAACACATTTTCCTGGAATTTCCATTTAAAGAAAGAAAAAGGAATAGGGAATACTATAAAATAAAACTTGAAATTGGGATCGTTCATAGAAGTTTGATGGGTGGAATAGGACAAAAAACAAATCTGCCCACAATTGCTTTCTGCCATCTTTTTAATAATATCACTTATGAAGATTTTTCTTCATAGTGAAATGTCAAATCTTCAAATGTTCTGCTTATGAAGAATACTAGAGATTGAGATTGTCGAATGTATCTCTTCCAGAGAAGTTTTTTGAAATGAAGAAAGGACAGTGCAAAGATGCCCTTGAAATTTATAAGCGGTTTCTTACTAGGATGACGAGAGTATCAGAATTTCTTAAAGTTGCAGAGGTAAGTGAAACGTTCATAGAAAGAACAATAGGCTGTAAAGATTGCAAATATTATGCAATGTACTGAATTTTGTGAAAAACAGCCGAAGATGGAAGAGATAATGATTATATTTAATGTCAGTTACACGTTTAAAACGATAGTATGTTGATTTGTGATTTAACTAGTAGTGAACATTCCTAAAACTGAAAGAAATGACAGTCAATTAATGGAAGTATTCACCAGGTGGTTGGTTTTCAACATTGAATGTATGCATGATTTTTCAGCTGAATGTTTCATAGTGTGTAAAAAAGGTCCCAGAGACTTATGCCTCAAACTGTAAAATAAGATAAAATAAATAGAGATATACTTGGAGAATGTGTGAAAGAATTAACAGTATTAAGGAAAGCCTTAAAGACCACCCAATCCAGAGATTAAAGCAAGCATAAGAAAAATTCTTCTTGATTTTGTTGATTTTGTTGTATTTGTTAAAACAGCCAAACTCCAAAAAGATTCTGAGTGATGTACAATAAGTCTAATAGATGTATTTAAAAAAACAACTAAAAATCTTGGGATTGTTTACAATAAGATGGGCCAGAGAGAAACTTAAAAATAAATTTGTTTATTTATTTGATTAATTAATTAATATCACTTAAATAAAATTTGATTACTACAATCTACAACAACAGAGTTGCATTTGTGAAATCCGCAAAGTATCTGTTTTTTCGCCTGGCTTATCTCAAAAAGGCTGTGTTCAATCTTGAAAGCTTCTAGAAGTTTCTCTCTGTCAGATGGTAATAAGCTATGTTACACTTAATTCAGTTCACCTGTTGTTGCTTGATGATTTATATTGCTTTTTGGTTTGTGATCACAAATGTGAAACTTGAAACTGAGTTTGCAGCATAAATTCATGTCCAGAAAATACACAGATGACTGGTTCAGCAGGATAATTAACTTCTTTATTAATATAATAAAATGAGTACAATACCATTTGTAGATTCTTTCAAGGTAACATAAGCAAAAACACAAGCAGCAGTAGCTCAGAGCAGATCTCTCATTTCCAGTAAGCAAGCAAGTCAGGCTAGTTTCTCTTTCACTTTAGAGCTGAGCACAGAACAGAGATAAACCATGCCCAGATTCTCTCTTTAAGTTTCAGCCCCCAATTCAGCTCTCATTGGCTGACTTTGTTACAAAGCTCTATTCCAGTTAATGAATATATTCTAACAGAAACCATTTTATTTTCATTTTTTCCTTGATCCACAGCAAGTTGGAATTGACAAAGGCGATATTCCCGATCTCACGCAAGTAAGTTGCATTCAGCTTGACAGTAATTAAAGGTAACACAAAAAAGTTCTGTTCATTTAGCATGCAGCCTAAAAGCGTTAACTATTTTAAATATTTTAAAGATATGCTTCCTGAAAATGGCAACCATTTGACTAATATAGTTTGATCATATGTTTGTTTCTAGATTAGAATTTCCATTTTTAGGCTATTTAAAAATACTGTATATAATGAAAGCCTCCATCCTTTTCTCCTTTCTAGAGGTACAATTTGTTCCAAATCTCTGAAAGTGCAATGTCTATGGAGATTCTCAATCATCCATGTCATGGTTGTCCCAAAGGTGCTTTCCTTTCAAAAGGTAACTGGGCTTCCTTGTTTTGGTTGAAGATGTTTTGCATCTCATCCAAGAAACTTATTCGGTTATGAAACCAGAACTGAAGAAGCTTTCAGAACTGAAGAAGCTTCTTGGATGAGAAGCAAAATGTTTTCAAGCAAAACAAGAAAGTTCGGTTGCCTTTTGAAAGAAAGTATCGTATTTTTCGGAGTATAAGATGCTCCGAAGTATAAGACACACCTTGCTTTGGGGGAGGAAAACAAGATAAGAAAATCTGCCTCTGCCTCCCAGCAATTTGCCTCCTTGCAGCCTGTTTAAGCTTCAGCACAGTCCGATTAGCACAAGCAGCTGATTGTCAGTTGGATCAGCCTCCCAATGACCAGCTGTTTCAGGCAGCAGCGATTGCCATCGCCTATTGCCTCCGCATGCCCCATTTTCAGCCCGTTCCAGGCGGCAGGGATCGGAACGGGTGGAAAATGGGGCAAACAGAGGCCGAAAACAGGGCGCACGGAGGCTGAAAATGGGATGTGTGGAGACGGCACAGAGGCAGTGGCAATCCCTGCTGCCTGAAACAGCTGATCATCAGGAGGCCAATCCAACCGACAATCAGCTGGTTGTGCTAATCAGGCTGTGATGAAGGTGAAAGAGGCTGCTGTTTCCTGCAAGAAGGTAAATTGCTGGGGGGCAGAGGCCAAAGGGTAGGGGCCTGTGGGTGGGCTGGGCTTCAGCAACATTCGCTGTATAAGACGCACAGACATTTCCAACAACTTTTGGAGGTGGAAAAAGTGCTTCTTATACTCTGAAAAATACGGTACCTTTGGAAGGTCTGAGAATGCAAATAGTACACTTGAGAAAAGAAGTTCTTTAGGATTTGTATCTAGTGCTTTGACTTGGTCCATAACATCGCTTAATTGTTTTCTTTCCAAGGAAGAGATAGGTTTAGGGTTACCATAGTAAAACCAATTGCTTATGAACTATTACATGTAAAATACTTCAATACAAAGAAATGAAAAAATTTATTCATATTTCTACTTTGTACATGAGTGCAGTTATTATTTATCATTGTATTGGTAATATAAAGAGATAATAACTACCTTTAAGGATTGGGGAAATGTTGTTTATTGCAAATACAAATATTTCAGCAACATTTTAAAAACTTATGAAGTATGTTGCTAGACAAAAATAAAGTAGTTTCTGCAGAAATTTAACCTAAGTACTTGCAAGCATTACAATGGCATCCTATCAGTATAACAATTTAATACTTTGCATATAAATGAAACAGATTTATTTCTAATTACACATTACAGGTAGATAGAATTAAAATTACACTGATATAAAGTTGCACAACTATAAAAATAATCATTGGCCTTTTTTCACAGTAATGTGCTAGAAATTGTTCGAAGTACAGTAAATAAATTCAGCTACCATTCTCATTTTGCTTATGTTTTTCTTTTGACAGAATATATGATTACTGTAGCTTCAAAGGAACATGAAGTATCTTGTCTTGCTTTGGTTATAATTTTTCTTTTGTGCTTTTACGTGATAATGCTCAATCATAGTTAGAAAGTGAGTGTTGGAAATGTAATCTTGTTTAAATTGAAACAGGAGGTTTTGTAAATCCCTTAATCATGAATAAGAATTTTTATATCTTCCAGTGTTTATATATTTTATATATCTTCCCATATTTTAGTGCACTAGGAAATTGTTCAGGGGTTTAATTCGACACACTGGTCTTTTTAAGACTGCTGTTGGTATTATATTCAGTAAAAGAGAGTGAAGACTTTCCCATCATCATCCAGTGAGGACAAGATAGAATGTTCCTCACTCATAAAAGCCAATGCCATGACTTAATGCTTTCCTGTTGCTGGCGGGCAGCTAAAGCAGTAGTTTAAAACAACATGGAGGCTGAAAGCATTTGCTTTCTTTTGGATATCTTAACATCCTTGCTGTTAAGTAGTGTATGAGCAGTTTTGAAAGTCCTTGTACATGGTTTAGAATATGAACCATGTTTGCAGTTTCTTAAAAGTTTTGCTGAGGTTCCATAGCCATAGGTAGTGAAACATTCAGAGTAAAAAAATGGTTTCTATATAAATGAACGAAACAAGAACAGAATTTGACTTTTGAATACATGCATAATCATGTTGCATAGTTGATGATCTATTGTTATATATATCTAAATAAATAAATAAATAATAGCGTAATCATTTATTTTCCCTAAAAGTCTGCTCCACCTAGTTAACTGTGCATCTTTCAATTTGAACAGAATAAGTTAGTGGCCTTGATTAATGTTCTCTTTTGTTTTTAAGGTAATTTATTAAATTTCAATAACATGAGTAAAAAGTAAACAAGCAGGGAGAAAGGAAGTTGAAATGGTGGAAAAAGACAAAAAGCAAAATAAAAGTGCAGAAAGTTTATCAGTTTGCAAGTAATGTTTAGACTTATTGAATAATCATTTAATTACATAATCATTTAATTACAAAAGTATTTTCCAAAATGGCCAGCTAGATGGCAGCACTTAGCTGACCTTGGCTGATCTCAAAAATCAAGCAAGGCAGATCTAATGGTGCTTGGATGGGAGAGCACCAGGGAATCCCAGAGTAACAGATTAAGATTAGATTGGAAAATTAAAAAACAAATAAACAGAGGCAGTGGCAAACCAGTTCAAAATTGCTGCCAAGAGAAAACATAAATGTATCCGTGACATTCTCAAGCATCCATATCAACTTGAGGAAAACGTGGCTTTATCAATTCATATAAATTCCATACATCAAACTTCCTATGGATTCATGAATGGAGATTTCTGATTATGCTTTGAAGTAGTATAAAGGCTACTTTTTGTTTTTATATTATTTTATTTATATTCATTTATATATTTATTTTACTGTTAAATAGATATGTTCTAACTATTTATATAAACTAATCAACAGATGTGTGGGTTCAAAAAATTGGTGCCTTATCAACACATTATGAATCAATAAATTGGAAAATTTGATTGTAATTGAACCCTTCATTATCTGTTTTGGGAAGATTAGAAACATATTTCCTAATTATGATACATTTCATGATTTTGTATTCAATATTTTATTAGTGCCTTTTTACATTTCCAGAAATGGTGATAAACTGTAATATTTGACTGCTTTTCTGTCTTATGATGAAGAACAGGATTCTTCAGTGATCCATTACAACAATATATTAAAGGAAGAACATATATAATGCATATCATTATAGAGGAGGATGTGAAATATATTTCTTTAACATTTGGAAAAAAGGGAAGTGTTGGCGATTATACCTATATTATCGCTTTTACATTGGCTGACTGGAAAACTCTTACTTTATGATCCTTTAAAAAATTAAAATGTGCCCCAAGCAGGTCTGAAAAATAATTCTGAAGTACGTCATAAGTTGCTTCTAAGAAATATTCAGACCAGTAACATAAACTTTGAAGGATTAACTAGGTTTTATGAGAAACAGAATTCCGACCACTAACCTTCAGTATTCAGAGCCTCTAATATGTAATGCATTCTGTGTCTTATGCCCCTCCTTTATATTATTAAGACATGAGAAAGTGAAGTGTGCTAGGCATTGGTTAACATTACAGGAAGGAAAGGTCTAGTATAAGGACCTCAGATTTTGTGTCCATTTTAGTGTATAGTTTGCTGCTGTGTTACAGATCTAATTCTACAGAGAACAAATTGTCAGATTTTTCATTGAATATGTATTTTAGGTATGTATGCATATATTTTCATAAAGATTAACATTTGCGCTATTCGTAATGTTTAATATATACCCATTCTGGTTTCAGCTTGTATTCCAACGAATAACCTCTTCCTTCAAAAAATGTACTTCGGCATAATGTACAACCCATAGTAGCATGGAAGGGGTCTTTTGCATAGTTGTTTTATGCATTAAGTGGGATAGGCGGCAAATAAATTTAACAAACAAATAAATAAATAGCATATCCATGCAAATAATCAATTCAAAGAAAAAAAAACCTCTGGAAATGCCTCTTGAGCTCTGTATCAGTTGCTTTTTGTAATGCTCTTTGGTTTAAAATCCATCTGTTCATTATATTTTTAGGCTCCCAGTAGTCTTATGGAGACTCTTGAACAGCATCTGAATACTTTGGAAGGAAAGAAACCTGGGAACAAGTATGAAGGATTTTATAGATTGATATAAAGAGGTTGCGGGGAGAGAATCTGTGTATCAATATGAGCATTGCTTGGTGAAGTTTTTGGCTCCTTACTAGAAAAAGCATTGAGCGTTCATTATGCTATAGTAAACACAAAACAGGATCTCAACTGATGATTGTAATAAGCCACACGTATGTCTCTGTTTCTGAATTTCTCATTGCTTTGTGATAGCTTTATTGCTTGCATTTGATAACCACTTATTGAAGGAATATTAGAAACATAGAACTTCTCTAGTATCTATACACATACTTCTTCACACAAAAACATTATCTCCAGTCTTCCTTTCAGAAGGGGTGGTACATATATGTGTTGTGATACTATTGCTTACCTGTTGGTATGAAGTATATGATTGCTTTGTCCTGGGCAGCAAAAATGGCATAACAGTCATGTTTCCAGCCGATGAAAGAAGCTGTAATGGGGAAATACAAAGTAGATGTGTGCTATTACACGTGGTAGCTTTGACCATGTAGGATTGCAATTGTAAATATTTACAGGTATTATAAATGATTAAAACAGATAGAAATTTGTAGTTTGTATCAGTGGGTTTCTTCAATCACATAGTACACTTGGAATTTGGCTCTGTCACTTGGTATAGTAAAAAAAACTAGATGCATTGATGAGATTATATAAAATTAATAATTGCTTCCTTTTTATCTCTGCATTTTTTGCATATTCCAAAATCAATTACATGATGTTAATTCAAATGGAGATCTGGCCTTTGTGTTGCACAGAAATTGAAGTAAAATATGTCTGAATATTATAGGTAGCTAATATAGTCCAGTTAAGTTTAACCAAGGTTGTAATCCTAATTAAAGTAAGGCCAACAGAACTCCAGAAATTCCTCCTGAGAATACATGCTACAAATAACCACTTTTTAAGCTAACATATAAAGTCTCTTGTGTTGTACTCTAAGCAGACTTTTTTATGGTCTGCATTTTATCATCCAATGTTAGTAGTAATTGTAAGAAATTAAAATAGGCTGACATATTTACTGATCTTGTTTTTCTGTATCCCTCTCTTTTATTTGCATAATGGATCTTTTGCCATTTAGTGATGGGTAAGTAAACTTAATACACTAATGTGTATGCCTGTGTGTATCAGTCTCTTTAATGAAAGCTTATATTTTATGAATATTAGTTTCTTACCAGTAATTGGCATGCTGTTTTGGAACTCTGGAAAATGAAATGCCTGTGAAGCACAATAGTAATTTTCATGTTTATAGTATTTTTGAAAATATAATTTCTGTTCTAAAAAGATAATTAACTGTAAACTCATACTGCTAGCTAAATTGTTATCTGGCTTACTGGCTCACTGATTTTATTTAGCTCCTTGCACTAAATGATAAAAAGATTAATCTCCTATAATGGTTTGTGGATGTGATTAGAGCCCACATTCAATCTTTTTTAATAAACTATTCAAAATCAAAGGGAAGTTAAAGAAACTTTTTTTTAAAGATTTGGGTAATAAGTATTGATTGAACTTTGTTAGGAGATTATAAGTCTCTAATTTACGAGTTGGATTTAGGGCAAGGTTTAGATATATATAGAGGGGGGGATGGATAGTTCAGAAATATCAAATTAAATTATATAGATATGAATATAAATATATGCAGTACTACATGTATAATATAAGGTTATAAAACTACACAATTCACAGAATTAAAAATATACTTTTATACAGCTAATATCTACAAAATTATTAATTTACTTTAAAATATAGCCATATCAAGATTAGATCGTGTTAGCCAAGGTTTCCTGAAAAGCTAAATTAATATTTGAATGAGAGACTACAGCATCAGGAAGATAAGAGTAAGAACTAAAAAACAAATTCTGGAAAATAAACAACGTAAAACTACTTCTGTATTGTTGCCAAAAATACTGCATGTTTGATTACTTAGGAATGAATCTGTTCTTGAAAGAGGCTATTGTTTTTTAAAACATAGCTCAACAAAATGTAAAACTAAAAATGAAAACCAAACTAGTGAATTCTGAGAATACAATAGCTCTTATTTTTGGTGACACCATCACTATTTGCTTTTAAACAAAATAAATGTCACTGTTGCAGTTAGGGCAATATTTAGCAGGGGTAAGATTAAGATAAATACATATTTAAGTCAGCTTTTTCTGAAGTACAATAAACATTTCTATTTGTCCTGATCCTTTATCTTTTTATCATTTTCATGGGCACTTATATGGTGATTTGCCATGATATCCAAACAGATCAATTAATTTCACATTTTAACCATTTTATGTTTGATTTAAAGTGAAATTATTACAGAATATTTTAAATATTTTCTTCCACTTTAAAAAAGAGCAATGAAAAAAGGTTTGAGAAGAAACGAGTAGTTCCTATTTTTAATATGTTTTCCCATCTGTTTTTAAAACAAAACATTTGTTTTGCAATTGCATAGGCAATCACTATTGTTTAAAATTATATTTATAACAGTCTGCCAGATTTTTTTGTGAGTTTACAACTAGCAAATAAAGTCTATTCCTGAATCATATTTTCTTATTTTAATTCTTCTAGGTCTGGTGCTCCTTCCCCCTTGGGCAAGGTAATCTAAAAATTGATATTACTACTTGAGTCTTCAATTAAGTATGCAAACTAGAGAAGTCTTGTGCTTTGTAAGAATGTATAAAATTGATATTTGATCTCTTCTAGTTTACATCCCACACACCTATATTACTTTTCATTTCTATGTGAAAAATATTACACAGGTTGGCCTCTTTCCACCGTGACTTCTTTCCAGAAGATTAAACTACAGAATCAAACATAAGCATGTATCCTTAGGAAATCAAGCCTCATTGAAATAGCTGGGATTTCAGTGGCACCAAAGGGAGACTAGCTTCCCTGGATTCAAACATTATGTAATATAGGTAGTCTTTGAATCATGAGCATGAGTTCCGGGTTACAACAGCACAGAATGAATGGAGATTAAAATTGGTATTGAAGGTTCTGGGCATCCCGGCCTACCCGGAGTCATGAAATTGCAAGATGGTACTTAACGCGAGATTGCTAAGCACCCTGAAATCATGGGATCATCATTTGAAAACTTTCCATGCCAGCATCTCCAGAAAGTCTTACAAAGATTGTAAGTTGCCAGTGTAGATCTTCCCCACCAATGCTTCATCTACAGCCCCTCTGCATTAACACTGTGTTTAGCCACTTTTGTAGAGCAATATACACTCCCTGATCAAATACAGCACATGTTGCACACCCTTGCACACCTTCTCTGACACACTCAAAAGTAAGATATAAGGACTGCATGACGAGTGAATTTATAACCAGCAATTAAATTTTAAGGGAGAAAATGTACATTCATTGGATTTAATCATGTGCTGTCCTGTCTTTCACCAGTATCATCTTAGAATTTAGGCTGCAATATTTTAGGGCACGGGAAATTGAAAATAAGTGTGCCTGGCGAAATGAGTATTACTTACTGCGCCACAAGTGCACATGATAACAGCTAAGAAATCTGCCTTGGAAGTGCACATATCATTGTGTAATGAACACATTCACACAACATGCTAATAAGCCAAATTGGGCTTTGGTTTAATGTGAAACAGGACTTGGACTATAGTGGACACAGAGTTGTGTTCTGTAGTGAGCACAAAACAGAGTTACTTCTTTGTCAGCTATAAAAAAAAAACCAACAAAAAAGGGAAAGAATTAGCTTTTCTTTGCCCTATGTGTGACAATTTTAAACCCAATCTAAAGAAATTCACTGGGCTAGAATAGGTGGGTGAGGAGCCAGCAAACTACACTTTGAGCAATGGATATGTTTGTCTGTGGTATTTATAATTGTTCTTCCTGCCAGCTATTTTGTAATAACGCTCTTAACCTATTTTTCACATTACAAATGTACCCTTTTTAAAGTAATTTCCATGCTCATAAGCTCTTCTGACATTCTACTGGACATGTTGAAGGTTATATTTTTAAAAGCTTTTTAAAAATTCATTCTACATGAGGTTTGATGCATGATTTAACTTCGAAAATAATTGAATGGAAAAATTTCCTACTGTGAAACAAAAATGTGAAACATAGTGGTTTCTTGGACATTTCCTAGTTACTATAGATTCAAATTTGACAGCTTTGAGGTTGGTGGCTAAGACTGCTTTGGTAATAGAGTTTTTAAATAAGGTTGGAAATACTTTTTAGGATTAAATCTAAGACTGCCTTCTCACTAATACATTTTATGATGATTTCATAGCAGATTCTTTATATAAAAACCCATGCTGTCTTTTATCAACACTGTGCAGTTTTCCTAACAGCCAAATATAGATGCAGAATATTTAGTATTGAAATCCCTCTCGGTAACAGACAAAACAAAAGCTGAATAATTTTAAAGAGTTAAAATCCAGTTGAAAAAAAAAATCAACAAGAATAATCAGTAATTCAAAGGTTTGGATGAAAATATTTTAATTTCTTTCCTAAAGGCATGGCAAAGCAGAGTGTTTTATAGTTCTGATACGATGGTTGAAGGTTACTACCATATCCTGAACAAATGGACTTAGATGATATAGTAGGCCTCTCTTACCACACTTAATGTTTCATATAGTACACAAAAGCCTGTCTTACAATGTTTCATTCAACATTCCAGAATCAAAGGTCCTATTGCTGTCCATCAGCTGCCTGACAACATAGTAAAGAGTCTACATTTCAGAGTTGTCACCTCCTACATAATTAACTACATGAAAATTTCTGTCCAAAATATTTCATATTAACATCACTTTTATCCACAAGGTTGTCCAACTTTTAAGGTATACGCTGAATACTTTTCCAGAAAAGATTTCAGTGGGACTTGAATTTTATCATATCTACTATGATAAAGCCAACTTTTAAAACAGACTTGACTTCGAAGCCTTTAAATGAGGCATTTATTGTATAGAGATTTATACTCCATAAACGCGCCCTCCATTAGGAGTGTACTGTTTTTGTAAATGTATGTGAACTCTTACAACAAAGGAGCATTCTTGATGGAAAGATATACTGCTACCCATGTTTCTCATATAATAAGGCCGGGTCTTATTTTTTTTTGAGCCCCGAAAAAATGTCTAGGCCGTCTTTTCGAGGGTGACTTAATCCCCCCCCTTACATCTTCAGGCGGGTGGGCGGCGACGGCTTGGATGTTGACCTCGGCGTTGGTGGGGCACTTCGTATCGGGGTCAACGCAGGCAGCACCATATCCGGGTGTGCAACAAAAGTACTTCCTAACGGCAAGCCCCCCCACCATTCCCCCCCCCATTTCGCATGTTTTAATATAGGCCTTAATTTGGGGGGAGGGGCTTAATTTCATTTCATGCCTATAAAACATGCTGGGACTTCCTATTGGGGGAGGCCGTATTGTTGGAGAAACAACAATTTTTTCTTTTCCTACGTGGATCTTGACAAAATGCCAATTTTGTGCTGGCCAGGAAATTTGAGATCTTACTAGTCATTGATCCCCAAATAATGCTAAGTTGTGAACAAAAATTCAAGGGACATGTTCAGAGCAGACTTTTTGAAATGCTTTTCATACTGTAATTCCTGTTTTGGCTCTTGATTCTTTAATATTAGCCTATGTGCTCTTTTCCTTAAGGGCTATCAAAAATAATAAAATAATTTTAAAATGGAATGATTTTTATAAAACGAATTTGAAGTTTATTACATAATGATTAAATAGTGTTCATGTTACTCTGTTGTAATATTACTAAAGAATTTTTGAGAGAGCCTGTGCAGGTTTGGAAACTTCCTATAAAAATGGGGATATTTTAGCTTTTTGTTCACCATTAAAATCTGCATATATTTGCAGGCTTTCCTTCCATCTGAGGAAGGAAGCTAAGTATTAATGCTGACTTGCTGGGAAGTGGATCTAAAGGATATAACTTCCTTGTATCCTACTGACTTTCCCCCAATCTCTTTTACTGCTCTTTATCCTGCTTTCAACCTGTTTCACAAGAAATTACTAAGGATATAATATTAAGAGGGGTATTTCGTGAACTTCTCCCCCCTCCCAATTGATATTTATCCTTTTAAGCATATTTAGAAGACAGAAGTAAATAATTCAACAATGATATCTAAGTACAATGTGTCATATAAAAATTGCACCTTTTTATTGCACCTTTTTGTAAGCTGCCCAGAGTTGCTGAGAGTGAGTGTGTGGCCATGTAAATTTTCTTAAATAAATCAAATAAATGTGGTATGTCCTAACCAGCTCTTCTTTTCCAGTCTTCTCCGGCCACAACGGTTACATCTCCCAATTCTACCCCAGCAAAAAGTATTGATACATCTCCACCAGTTGATCTTTTTGCAACATCTTCAACGACGGCTCCAGTCAGGTTAGTTTGGTTGCAGCTATGATACTTACTTTTAAAATATTTGGTACAGGTAGTCCTTGACTGAAAACAGATTATTTAGTGATCATCTCCATGATCATGTGATCTAAATTCAGGCGCTTGGCAATTGGTTCATATTTAGGACGGTTGCTGTGTCACGTAGTTACCTTTTGTGACCTTCTGGCAAGCAAAGTCAATGGGGAAAGCAGATTCACTTAAGTAATGTTACTAAGTTAACGACTGCAGTGATTCCCTTAGCAACTGGGGCAAGAAAGGTCATTAAATGGGGCAAAACTCACTTAACAAATGTCTCACTTAACAACAGGCATTTTGGGCTCCATTGTGGTCACTACATGCAAGATGTTATAAAGTATGTGCTGCTTCTTTTGTTTCTGTTAAATTTCTTCGATGATAGAAGACGTTTTTTATAAATACATTGCAAACCAAAGCCAAAGCATGTATGTATAACTTCAATGTACAAATCATAACCACCCTCAAAATTTAATGTTTCTCTTTCAGAGGGGGGAGAACAGATCCCAACAGGCTGTAGACATACGGTATTCCTACAAAATGTCCTACAAATTCTTTCTGCCTGAAAATTTTGTGGAATGTGGATTAATAAGGAATAAATGAGCTTTATTGATCTACAAATTGTGACTTTTGTAGCCTAACTTATCTGGAAAACACTTGGCTGGGGAAAGTTGATATAAGGTCACAACGATTTGTACTGTTCTAATTATGTTCTTAAATATGCCATTATGTTTGTTTAACTCTTGCAAATTAATTGTTCAAAATTATTTTTATGACTTTTATCCAAATTACTTTTTTCCCCCCTTTCCATAGTGCTTCCAAGCCCTCCAGTGATCTTCTAGATCTTCAACCAGATTTCACATCTGGCTCCGCACAAGCAGCTTCAGCAGCTCCCACGGGTGGAACAACTTCATGGGGAGGTAAAACCTTTATGATTATGGTTCCCTAACATTTAATTTCAGACTAAAGCTGGAATGCTGACCATGCTTTCTTAATCCACCTTCATATGTCTAAGACTATTTGTGCTGATTACAGCAATTTTGTAAATTGGACTTTCTCAGTCATTCAGGCCTCCGGATATGGCAGACTACAACATTTCCACCTACCAGCCATCAGAACTAAGTGGTCTAACATCTCTAGAAATCTTCAGTTTGAAAGGGGAAATACCATTATAATGAATTTTAAAGTTTCATCTTTATAACATATTTTAATTTCAGAATAAACTTTTTGAATACAATTTTTGAATTGAATATAATTTACATTATTCCATTGTATGTTTCAAACAAACATATCCTGAAGGTTTTGTTTCATGGACCAGCCTGTGGTTGAATTTAAAGAAATTCTAAAATGTGTTTCTCATTTTACATTTTATTGGCACTATGTTATATTATATTCCGATATCTGTTGGGTTTAATTTTCTCCTTCTATTGAAGGAATGTGAACATTTAAAATCTGAATGTTTTAAATTGCCATTCAAAATACAGGAGGTTGGAACTACAATGGGTACTGTTGGAATTCAGAACATTTTTAACATCTTTTGAGAATATTGAACCTATCATAAAACCAACAGGGCAGAAAGATTTTAGTCATTTAAAAATAGCATTTTAAGTTATATAATTTTTTCTTGATGAGTGGCATTAAAATTGTTTCTAACAATGTGCAAAGGTGCAACCTTGTCTGTTGCAGCAAACTAACACCGGTATTATGGGTTAAATTTTTTAATGGTATCCTTCACTATACCCAAGAGAGTGGCCGGCCAAGTTATGTGGCGCACACCTGCCTTTATTCTCTAATAGAAAAAGAAGCCAAGAGACTTGGACAACCAACTAGGGTTGCTTCTTGCCCTCTGGGCTATAAGGTCACATGTAATGTATACATATAAACAATTAGGGTGCTCTCTCTTCAGCTTTTGCCACTTGAATTGGTTCCCTCAATCTTCATAGTGGTAAAGCGAGTTCTATTCAAGAGATCTTCTTCATTTCATTGCTTTTGTTTAATACGTGCTTTGGCAGTGTTGGAAAAAGGAGAAGAAAATAAATGTATTGTCAGCTGCATGCTTTCTCTGCTATGCATCTGTTCTCTCAGGAGGTCAAATGTAAAGAAAAAAAATGTAATATCCCATTTATGCCCTATCCTAAAGAACAATGCAGATAGGTCTTTCCTTTCTGAGACTTAATGAAATATTGTTTTCGCTATCTTTTTCCTTCCCCAGTTTGCCCTATCAAAGCAAGAATTGTTCAGTACATCCGCATATATCTGAGTTATCTCAAGAGTCTTTCCAGGAAGGATGAGGGGAAATTTATTTTTAATCCTATACCTACATCAACACTGCTCCAACAGTGAAGGGAGGGATTGTATTCCTGCAGGATCTAATTTTCGATTTTGACAATTATAGAAGATGCAGTACTTTCTCTAGAAACAAGTACTGTTCAATCTGGGATAGTTTTAGAGAACAATTCCTTTCTGGGGGGAGCGGAGAGTTTTTGTTAGGATTGATCAAAGATGTAGCTTTTCTATGGTTTCTAAAAAACAGCACTACATTTAGGAGCCTCTGTGGCGCAGTGGTTAGAGTGCACTACTGCAAGCTACTTCTGCAGCCAGCTGCCTACAATATGGCAATTCAAATCCCACCAGGCTCCAGGTTGACTCAGCCTTCCATCCTTCCAAGGTGGGTAAAATGAGGATTCAAATTGTTGGGGGCAATATGCTGACTCTGTAAACCTCTTAGAGAGGGCTGTATAAAGTACTATAAAGTACTATATAAGTCTAAGTGCTATTGCTATTTAATGTTTAAAAACTGTAATTTAGGGAAATTGCTATTGATGATCAGTGATACTAGATGAATTAGCTAATTACTGCCAAAAGATTTTCATGATCATAATTCCCAAAATCCATCAACTGATAATAACGAATGGTGATAATATTGAGATAAGCAGCAGTACAAAAGCAATAATCTACTCACCCTCAGTTAACAGTAATTTTTTCTCCTTAAAGTATATGAGAAGACAGAACTGCAGCAAACAAGCCAACCAACAAGTTCAAATGTGGCTTTGCAGCAAAATGCATTAAAGAACTGTGTACCTTTAGTACACAAGAACATGAATGGAGAACATGTGCATGCAATCACACATAGACATCAGAGCCATCAAATCAACCAGACAGCCAAACATATTGCTGAGAAACATGGCCAAGTCTGACCAGAACTTGGCATTGACTACCCAAGAACTGGAGACTTCTTTCCCCTGTTTGCTCAGTTAGCATAGTATGGAGTGTTCTGGGCTGCCTATGAAGCCATCAAACAATATGTTTCTCTGGAAATGGGCCATACACACTACCCAAAACAAGATTGGCATGTTTGGGCAATGGTCATCACAAATCCTATACCAGAATTAAGGCTCTGGCTGCTCTTGCTATTGTTGGATGGCTTCTTCCTAGGCACAGTCTTAGTTAACATCAATTGGACAATTTCTGGAACAAGGAGAGAATTTTCCAGAGGGAAATTGTCACAACTTTTGTTGGAAGCACAGGGCAGAAATGGCAATGAGAGAGTTTCTGTAAATCCCAAAGCTGCTGCCTCCTTTGCTTCACAATGTTTACGTGGTTGCATTATGGGTCTCCTTTCCAAATTCACAAATAAGCTTAT